ATACAAAATTATAATGAATATAATATATTGTGATCTATATCGAGTTTAAAGATAATCAAGATTCTCCTTTTTTGAATTCACATGTAAATAACATATGAATCGTAAAATATTGCATTTTTTATTTTTTATTCGTGTGATGCAAAACTTTTGGCAGCCACTGTATATTTCTTTTAGTAATTACTTTCTTTTAACTGTATGACATTTGTATAAAATCATTGCATGGCATGAACATACATGTATTTTTTTGAATTTGTGGTACATATAAAGCTTAGCTTATAGTAATTCTTATTATATTTATTCGTTATTTAAATTCTTATTATATTATTCGTTATTTAAAGATTATATGCTCTATTAATTATTTGAAAAATTAAAATTCAAAAGTAATATAATTGCTCGCCAGAAACAAACCGAATTCATTAATAGAAGCGTTATTCGAATAGATTCGTCTTGATATGTTTCTTGCTGCCGTCGGCCAATTTTGAATCGATTGCTCGTTGACGAATCGTGTTGACGAACTATTATCGCTTAAATTTTCCGTTAAATTTAAGAGTTCGTTGGTGTTTAAAATAGAAAGCTTTGAGCCAAGCACACTAAAGGATGATGACGACGACGATGATGCTGTCGTTTCTTTATTGTGTGTTGTAATCAGGTTATTAACAGATTCTTCGATCTTATTAACTTGTGATTCAAGAATTTTGATGGTTTCTTCATCATCGAAAACTGAATGACAATTGCAGTCTTGATGTGGCAATAAGGATTTTGCCCCGGGGAGCAGCTTTTTTACTCTTTTCTTCGGTGGATATAAAGCATTGCGAATCTGAAAGATTGAACGACGGCCGGTCACGTCAATTAGATCACCAATTTCAGAATGGTTGCGTTTTTGCGCTTTTTTGCTAATTGATGTAACGATGTTTGATTTCGATAGCACCACCATTTTATTCTTTGATTTCATTGTGTGGATAAAATTTAAAAGTTCGATGTTATTTATAATTTTTTTGTGTCTTGGCTATTCTTGCTAATGTTCCTTTGCAGAATTCTAATATAAAGCAAAAATGGAAACGCCTTTAGTTAGAAAATTTATTAGGAGAAACCCGATATTTAGCACAGAAAACTTCTAATTAAAATGTTCCATACATCAAATATTTTTAGATTATCAAATCAAAAATTATATTTTATTATCATTTCCATTGCTGTCGTCGGTAACAGCCTGGAGACGAGCAACTCCCAATATTGATTCAAATAATGGCCGTTACACTTAAAAATCTTTAATCATTTTGCACCAATTAATAAAATTATTTTAAGTTAACTTTTTTTGGAATATTATGAATCTAGTTAAATATTAAAGCAGACATTAAACAAACGATATTTTAAATTAAAATTAATCACCATAATTTACCGGTAACGGTAATGGTAATGAAAATTAAAAAAATGGGAGAATGATCGGCCCGGTAAAGCAAATCCGAATGTCCGAGATGATGCACAAAAAAATTCTATCAGTCTTTCTGTAATTAAAAAAAAATTATTTTCAAAGACCAATATCCTAATATGGGTTTACTCCCACAAGCCACAATTTCATACGATTTTTTAAAGAACATTGTAATGAAAAAACATTTTATTTTGAAAAATAGCTTGCTTGTGTCTCGAAATTTTGTCTATGAAACCACTCCACTTCTTTGCGAAATTTCACTATAAAACTTTGTTGCAATATAACTTTAACTCCATAATTGAAATGCTTTTAATATTTCATATTTTGCGATTTGATTTAAAATTTCCATTACACAATGAACTTGCGATTTGATTGGTCTGTCCTTAAAAGATCATTAATCCCCATGATCGTCCAAACAATATCATCATTTATTACAGGTCTGCGGTTAAATTTATTTGAAATAAAATTATTTTACATCTTAATCTTATTAAAATTTATAATTATCTCCTTATAGAGATTTTAATATACTTTATAAAAAGAATTTTTTATTTAAAAATTTTGTAGAAAAAGACTCTGTTAGTGATATCTTTTCATGGAGTTTCATGAATTTTATTGGTGGATGAGAAAAGTGTTTATATTTATATATACGTATGTAAAAATAATATTGTATATACATAAATAATATTGTATATATATAAATAATATAAAAACTTATAGAGGTGATTTATTAGATAATAGCATTATAGATTTGCGCGGGCGCAGTTAAAATCAATGCAAGTATTAGTGGTCACGTTATCTAAGTGTCACGTAAACACATGATACGGCGTCATAGTAAAAAAAAGATGCTGTGCATTTCTCTGTATTATGTACAATGTACTTCGCAGAAGTTTTTAAACAAACAATAGCTTGTGAAGCCAGTGCGAATGTGGTAACAACGTAAAGAGAAATTCTACAGTGCTGAATAATAAACTAAATTAGAGACAAGAACATGCTTTTATATTACACTCGAATTTATTTCACCAGTTTCCAGTAAAATTATATCTGATTTGGTTTTGATGTACACCCGAAAATTTGACTGGTGACCTTTGCATTGTAGGATGACACAAAGTTTGTTCAATAAAATGTGCAAAAAAATATACATATCCTTGATGCTGTAAAGGATTTTTGAATATAATTTCTAGAAAAGATCAAATTTAAAAATTTCCATGTTCTGTTTCTTCTATAAAATTTGTTAATTTAATAAGACCGAATTTATTATAGATTTATTATATAAGAAACTGCGCAAGTTTTCATTAAAAAAGTTAGATTAAATTAAATACAATTGCAATACCTATTTCATTCGTGCCATTGAAGTTTTTCGGATTAAAATGAAATTTGGCAAATTACAGACAAAAATCATTGCTAATATTAAATATTTGTATTTTTACATCGATAGCGAAGCAAGTCAAAAATTTCATTCACATGAATTCCGTGTTCTTGTGATATATTATTACATAACTTTTTTATATCATTGTCGTCAGATTTTGGTTTTCAGTGCAATCTGAATTTATTTTTGACGTATAGTCCGCACGAAAATAGTGACGAAAAAATTTACCATATAATTGGCCTCTTGAAAAAACTGGGTGACCTCTATTTCGAAATATATCTCCAGCCATTGAAACCACAATACATATTCTGGGCAGAATTTTGATAAATTCAACCATCAAAAACATCAATTTACGCAAAATTTTACCAAGTCAACGAGTCTTTGCACATTGGTAAAAAAATGTTCGACTTAAGTGATTACGCGATTACGCGCGTTTAAAAATATACATGTATCTTCTGCATACAGATCGATTGAACATTCGTGAACGTACGTACATTTATTGTACACAAATTTTTAAATGCATCTTTTAATACTTCTAATCTAATCACACAATAATGGAATTGTTTTAAAAATTCAAAGGAAAGATTTGAACATCTTAGAAAGTAATAAAAGAAATCGATGATGTTTTTCAAGAAAAAAAGAAATGAAAAAAGTGAAAGGGAAAAAAAGAAATTAAAAGTAACAACGATAAGAAATAAGAAAGTAAACATATATCAAAGACAAAAAAAGTGTCAATATATGATATTACGCTCGCGGATAAGCTTATGTATATAATAAGAAATACCAATAAAATACATAAAAAACCAAAAGTATTGACAATATAAATAGACTGGCTCTATTTAGTCGATTAGCAACAAATCTAAGGAGATCTATAATTAACTCGTCCCTGTCCGTGAGAATAATATCAAATTTTGACGTATTGGCTCTCCCCATTGCTTCAGGACGAAATCTACTTTTGCAGCCGATCACCAGAATACCGATCGTCCCTCTCGGATACCTGGTGAGGATTCCTTCCAGTTCTCGGACGGAGTTGGCTCCTGTAATCGTTCATTAAATTTATAAATAATTTAAAAAAGATACATTTATGATAAATACCTATCATGCTTTGCACCCAGTTCATGCACCGGATCACGAATTTGATCCCCGCAATTGCTCCTTCTATTTCTACTCCGCTACCAGCATAATCACTAATAATTTAAATGTTAAAACGTGAGTATTTGTGTCATTATTGTCTACTAATAAGAATATGTGACTGCTGTCACAATGAACTTTCGATTCGTTATCTTCACATAAATTCCCCAGGCAGTCTGCCATGCGGAAACATCGGAAACTGGGAAGAACATTCAACGGCCGAAACCGTGGCCACGATACGCTTCCGATTCCCAGAAATTTTACATGTAGTGGCAGCGTAACTTCGGATGCAAACAACTCGGCGAGAAATACTCACTCTGTCCACCTGTATTCAATCCCCGCTCTCCTTAATAGCATACGTATTTCCGCCTCAAACACCTTTCCTCTGGCAAAGCTAGATAACATCATCGTTGTTATTATTATGTTGTTGTCGTAATTGATTTTTTTATTAAATGGTCGCAGATAATTTCTTATGATTAGATAGTGATAATTTGTGAAATATAAATATTAAAATACGCTATTTTTTTACGCCAACAATATTCGATCAGCCAATTTGTCGATCCTATTATTAATGCTATCGCTATAGCCCAAAAAAAAGTTACGGATCATGTGATTTTTAAGGGGTAAAACAAAACAAACGCTTATTTTAAAAAATGTTCCTGCTAAAGGGTAGAGTAAATTTGATTAATTTTCCTAATAAAAATTACTTGAAAAGAAAATAAAGAATTTAATTAATAAAAGTTCAATATATTTTACATCTTTTTAAAAATATAAAATATTTAAGTTATTTATATATTATGGATCAATGCAAAAAAGATTTGTATCTCAATATAAAAATCATTCAAATTTTAACCAATCTTTATAATTTTTTTATATAAAAAAAATTGGTTTTTTAAAAAAAAGATATTTTAAATATTATTGCTATCAATATTAGAACTTCAAACTATATAAATAGGTTGCTTTGGATTTGATAAATATATATTCTAAATTTCATAAAAATTAAATTAGTAGTTATAAAGATATTAAGATTCAAAGATAAGTAAATAAATTATTTATTATATAATTTTATATTAATTTTAATCAAATTTTATATAGTCAAATGGAAATAATAATTGAAAAAAGTTATTATTAGTAAAAATTTTTTTATAAAAGATATATAATAAAAATTTTTATATTTAAACAAATTCCAATATTTAATAACTTAATTAAATAAGACAGAATTAAAAATTTATTTTGAAAAAATAATTTATTAATATTTATCTGAGATATAAATCTTTTTGTATCAATTTATAATATAAAAATAAAAAATAAAAAAAATATTAGAAAATTATATAAAATTTTATTTTTAAAAAATATAATATTCATAATATTAATTTGTAATTTCAAAAAAAGAAAAAATTAAATATATAAAATAAAATATACTTATATATTTAATCTGTAAAATATTAGAAATAAAAAACTATATATATTAATATATAGTAATATGTAAAAGTATTATATTATATAATTTATGTAATAATTTTGATTAGATTATTTTCTTTTAGTTTAAAACTTTATTTTGTGCTATTTATATAACAGATTAGTTTTTATATTACTTTTATTTGAAGATTATTTTCACTTTGAATATATAGATAATTATTTATATATTTATATATTAAATTTAATATATTATTATAGATAATTATTATATATACTTATATTATTAATTTAGATAATTAATATTTTTAATTAGATTTCTTTTAATAATTTCTTTATAATTTTATTTATTTCTTTTAATTATTATTTATATTATTTATAATTTATTGAATTATAATTAATTACTTTCCAGAGATATAAATTAAGATAATTAATTTTATTTAACTATATATACTTTATTAAATTAATTATTTATAATTTATTTATATTTTATATTTATTTTTTTCTATAAATATATATTTTTTGTTTTATAAAATAATTTTAAATCTAAATATTATTCAAATAATAAAAATTATAAGTTTTATAAATTGAAACTATTTATATAATATTTTATTTTATTTGTAATTATTAACAAAATAATCTTATAATTCAGATAATAATATTTTATATATATATTAATAATCAAAAATAATATATTAAGAGCTAAATTTATTAATAAAATATAGTAAAAATTAAAATTTTCTTTTTATATTAAAATTATTAATTTTATTAAGAAATAATTTTTATTTTATATCAAAATAAAGTTTATTAGTTATAGAGTTTAATATATATTTTTTTCAGATTTTTTTAATTTTTTCTAAAAAAATTATTCTAATTGTAAAGTTAATACAAAAATTTTTATTAATTTATTTTATTTTTAATTAATAAAAATTTTTGTATTAATTTTATAATTAAAATAATAATTTTAAAAAAATCTGAAAATCTGAAAAAAATATATATTAAACTATAATTAATAAACTTTATTTTTATATAAAATAAAAATTATTTCTTAATAAATTTATAAATTTTATATAGAAAGAATATTTTAATTTTTACTATATTTTATTAATAAATTTAGTTTTTAATATATTAGTTTTAACTATTATTATAATATTAAATAATATATAATAAGCTTATTTTAATATTTATATATAAATAAAATAGTATAATATATTTATTTTTATATTATTAATTTTAAAAAAATTAATAGATTTTTATATTAAATTAAGTAATTTATTTTTTTAATTATTTTAATAAATAAAAATAAAACTTAAAATTATAAAATAAATTAAATAACTTTATAAAATTTTAATTTTAATATTAATTATTATTTAGTATATCTATTTTTTATATTAATAATATTTTAAATATATTTTTTATATTTTAATTAATTTTATTAAATATATTATTAATTTTAATTTAAATTATATCTTAAAGTTAATTTTAAATATAAATACTAATTAATATTATTTTAAATAATAATTTATTTTGTTTTAAAGATACTTAATTAGATAAAAATCAAATAATTAAATAAATTAATTAAGTAAATAAATATAATTAAATATTTTTAAGTATATCTCTCTTGAAATTATAGTAAAAAATAAAAAATATATATTTAGAAAGAGTATATATTTATAAAGATTAAAATATATAGAGCTTTTATAAGCTGAAATCAGAATATATTATGTATTTAAAGAGAAATTATATAATATATATATTTAGAGAGAGTAAATCTTATACTAATATTGAAATATAAAATAATTTACTTTTTATTTATTTATTTATTTATTCATCTTGTAATATTATTTTATTCAATTTATTCATATTAATTATAAGAGATAATTATTTGAAAGATTTTTAGTTAATTTTTTCTCTGTTCCAATCAATCAATAGACTTGATATCTAAATTTTTTATTTCTCTTTCTAACATTTTTCTCTTCTTTACATAATCTTTCTACTTTCAAATTATATAGTTAGATCAAAATTTTTCTAATATCTCTTTGTATTTGTCATATTTCTTGTGAGCTTTCTTCAATCTGTACTTCATTTCAGTGAAGTTCATGTTTTGTTGCTATTTTAATTAATATGACTTAAAAAAGAATTGTTTATTTGATTTATATACTACAAAAAATCACATGATAAATTTTGATAATCACATTTAAATATATTAAAAGTTATAAAATTATTAATTTTTATCAATAATAATTTTTATATTATAAAATTAATATCTGATTGATCCAAATTATAACTTCAAAAATTAAGAAAATTATATATTATTATGATAGTACAAAGTAAAATAAATAAGTTTTTATTAAGTAATTATAAATAAAATTTGATATAAAGAATGTATTAAATACAGATATCGATATATGTAATATTCAACAAAACACTCTACATGTATATACAGGTTTAAAATGTATTTTAAAAAAATCTATCAAAGCCAAATATAGTCAACTATCGATTGCATACATTAATGTATGTATGTACGGCTGCATCTCATATTATTTCATTTATGGCTAATACATATGTACAGTGGCCTATCAAAAGTCACCGGACATCATGTGATCCCAGTCGTTTTGCAAATAACACTGTTTGTTTGAATTAGATTTTCTCCACAACGACTTTGTTGATTTCATTATTCTT